AAAATACATATTTAAGTGATAGCATTTGTTAGCCATATACCTATTACATTAAGCACTGACTCAGGGAGAACTTATGAGAACAAAACATTAATATCTGTTAAACAGTGAAAATTAGCAGAAATCCTATTCTGGAAAAGGAGTTGTGGTTTATAAATTTAGCACTACTACAAAGAAAATATAAATAAAACCTAGAACTTTTAAAGATATGAAATACCATGTAAGGGAGTTGAGATCAAATTTTAAACTCTAATAAATAAATTGAAGAAAGAGAAACTGGCATGATGACCTGTCCTATCTCAAAAGGACCTAGAGTACTTTATTGGACATTACTTAAGATTGTCTATGTTAAGAGGACATCAAAAAATATACTAGCAAATATAAAGTCACATGAGGATAATGATAAATTTATTTTATATAACTATGACATAATATTAAAATATGTATAAATTAATACATGAGGTTGTCCAGAAAAGGCCCAGCCATTGTTAATACAATGAATGCTTTGCACAACTTGGATGTAACCTGGCAGCCAAGGAGAGTGGACTGGAATGCACATGCATGAACAATTATGACTTCTCTGTACTAGTCAGTGGGGGCAGTAGATGCAGTTGAGTGAGCCTGTGTACTGTGTGGCCGTCACATTCAAAATTACTGAGTGAGTACAGCAACGAATCTACATCAAATTTTGCATTAAGCTTGCACATTTCTCTGTGGAAACTACGCAGATGATTGAGAAGGCCACAGCTATGGGCAACTGGGGACTGGCAGCTTCATCACAACACACCTGCTTATGTATCATGTCTCGTGCAGAGTTTTATTGCAAAACATCAAATCACCCAGATGACTCAGCCCACCTACAGCCCAGGTTTGGTGCCCTGCAACCTCTGTCTTTTCCCAAAACTAAAATCACTTTTGAGAGGGAAGTGATATCAGGAAATCTCAATGAGATTCAGGAAAATACTATGGGGAAGCTGAGGGTGATTGAGAGAACTGTGTGACATCTCAAAATACCTAATATGAAGGGGACTGAGGGGTCATTGTCCTATGTACAAGGTTTCTTCTATCTTCTTCAATAAATGTCTCTATTTTTCATATAACATGGATGGATACCTTCTGGAAAAACCTCATATATACAGTATGAAATAATATATTTTATATAAATAATAATAATTATAGGTAATATTAAGCACCTTCTCCATCACAGAGTACTGATACACTTTATATATATTAATTCACTGATTCCTCACAACCACTCTCATTTTACAGATTAGCAAAGCGAGGTATTAAAATGTTAAATAAATTTGCCCAAGGTCATTAATAATCATTTGTTGAATGAAGAAACAAAAGGGAGGTAAATTTAACTCACAGACCCCAAAACAAGTAACAAGTAGAAAATATTTAGTATTTCATACACAATCCCAGTCAAACAGTTGAACAATTATTATGTGAGGAATTAGTTTTGATTATATTTGTGAAATTCCTTTCAGTTGTAAATCTTAACCTTTCTACATCAGGGGTCAAAAATGATCTTATGTGTTCCTATAAACAAACAGAACAAAAAATCAAATCTTTTCCATTCCTATAGTCCAAATACAGAAATATACTGCTTCCTGGCTCATATACTATGAAAATACATACTTAAAAATTTAAATTAAAATCTCTTACGTGTATGTTGGCTCCCAAATACGTCTAAGTTTATCTGATTTCACATTGCCATTACAGGATAATTGAAGCAATTTTTGCACATAGTAAAAGATGGTTGATTTAAAATTAGTGAGTGGTAATTCAACTTCACGAGTTGTTCCAAGACCCGTTACTTTCAAAGTGAGGGCTAATCGAGGTGATGGAGTACATTCAACTTCTTCCAAGAGTTCTGAATGAGGTGTTCCTAAAAATGGGAAAAATGTGAAAAACAATTACAGTAAAACAAGCCATCCAGAAAGAACGCGCCACTAGGAGACATGACTACATGAAATCTAAACCCTACTATCATACATTAGTTAACAATGTCAGCTACTGAAGAATCTACTGGCCTCAACATTTTTATTCTTACTTTTTTTCAAACGGGAATAATACACCTACATTACTTAAAGAAGTTCAGAGTATAACTTTTGCATATAATATGAATCTCATTTTTATTAGGAAACATGCTAACTGTATGAATATTTTGGAAACATTTTTATAAATAAGAACACTAAAAGTATTCATATTTCTACATAAAGAGAAAAACCACATACTTTGGTCAATGACCTGTCAATGTTTGCTTATACTGAATGAGCAGGTTGTGAGGTAAACACACACACAAAATCAGATTCATAGTATATTTGGTGGTATACTCTCTTCTTTTTTATTAGCACAAGAATCTTTCCCCCGTTATCATTAGACAAGAGTTTTCTAAAGCACTTTAGTCACTGCATGACAGCCACTGTACCTTTAGTCAGATCCCCTTCTCTGACTCTGCTCCTCCCCTCTCCCTCTTATTAGGTCACTGGTCATTGCAGTGGGGACAACCAGATAATCCAGGATAATCTCCTATCTCAAAATCCTTACTTAATCATATCTGCAAAATCTCTTTTGTCATGTAAAGGTAACATATTCATATATTCTGGAGGTTAGGATCTACATTATCTTTGGGGAGCCATTAGGGTACCTACCAAATGCAAACCAGAGCTGTATGACACAGTGTTGCCACTGAGCCTGACTGACTCCGGAGGCCCTAACTGAATCCTTTATACAGCTGTTCAGGGTAAAAGATGAATAGAAATCATCCTTAGCAATTTTGATCCAGTAGAAAATAGAATACAAATTATCCATCTTTAAATGAAGCCTTGCTTTTACAGTTACATAAATACAACAGTGTTTTTAAAAGATTGCATCTATTCTTTTTAAAAGTCTTTATTTTTTAAGGACTTGTAGCTGATAAGTTTTTTCCTAAAAACTTTTATTTATAACCTGCATTATTACTTTTCTAATTATATATAATTATCTTATTTGTATCTGTTAAAATTAATTCACAAAAACTAAAATATACTGTACCTGGAGGTGGAATTTCTAGATCAGTTGTCTGTTGGACGTTAGTACGACCTGGTCTAGGGTCAAAAGCAGGAACCAAAGCAGAAAACTGCCGCTTTAGCACATAGTCATCATCCCACGTTCTCCGGCGTCCTCCTTTAGTTTCATACTCCTCTTCTTCCTGTTAAAGTAAAATTTCACATACAAACATTGTAAAACTTCATTACTGTGAAAGTGATGTACTGTCTATAAAATAAGGTACATGTTTAAGTTCTTCTTTATAGCTATTGTATCTCCATGTTTAAGTTCTTCTTTATAGCTATTGTATCTCCTTAGCCATATTTCTTGAGCACAAAATAAGCCAACATAAACATAAGTACCTACATTTCTTAATTTAAGTGTATCAAAAGTAAGTTGCATTAGTGTTGGTTACACAAATCTACATGAGATAAAATGACAAAGAACCATATTCATTGTACCAGTGTCAATGTCCTGGTTTTCCTGTTGTACTCTGTGTAAGATGTAATCATTGGAAGAATTGGGCCAAGGGCACAGAAAAGACCTCTTTACCATCTTTGTATCTTCCAGTGAACCTACAATTATTTTTAAATAGGAGCTTTTTACAAGATGTAAATTGCATTTTTTTCAATACAAAATGCATTATGTATTAAATTACATACAAAAATACATATAATGATTTGGAGTTGCTTTCAATTATTATGGGACAAATAGATCACACAAGTTTGACAAAGTGTTGCTAATTTAACATCACTTCCTACATGTCTGAAAATTTCCATAATCAAAGTTTTTATAAGAAATATTTTCTCCTCTCCTTCACTTTTAGTATCAACAAAAAAGAGATCAGTGAACTGTAAATATTATAAATGTCTGATGTAGTAATTTAAGTAATTATGTACATACTTACACACATATATAGCTCCCTATATTTGGAACATGTAACTGAAATTAACTTTTACAACACAAATCACATTGCCATCCAACAGCTTTAGAGCCAGAATGTCTGGATTTTCATCCTGGATCCAAAACTTCTATGTGTGAACTTTAAAATCACCATCTGAAAATTGGAGCTAATTAATAACTATCAAAGGGTGTTGAAAGGACTGAGTTAGTTAACACATGTAAAGTCTTGAAAAAAAATGCCTACCACTTAATAAATATTATTGGTTATAGACTAATGGAAAATGGACTAAAATGACTACCTCTACTAATACTATGAAAACTATAAGTCTTAGATAACAGCTATTAACCATTTTAGTAAATATTACTGCTAACCAAAGACCATGGGGAAGAGATTTCTTTCTTTTCTTTCTTTTTTTTTAAGATTATGTATTTATTTATTTGAGAGAGGGGAAGGGACAAAGAAAGAGAGGGAGAGAAACATCAATGTGTGGTTGCCTCTTGTACCTCTCCCCTACCCCCACACTGGAGACCTGGCCCACAGCCAGCCATGTGCCCTGTCTGAAAATCGAACTGGCAACCTTTTGGTTTGCAGTCCACACCGAATCCACTGAGCCACACCAGCCAGGGCTAGACAAGAGTTCTTGAAGATGACCAGGTATTTGCAGTTCAAAAATGTAGGAAAGAAAACCAAGGTTCTTCTAGAAGGATTTTTGTTTCTTCAGGTGAAGGGGCAGAAAAGCACCTTGAGTTTGAAATGCCACTCTTTTCTCTGCATTGAGACATGGGGAAGAGATTCCATGAAACTCTTGTATGCACTATACTAGAGCTATCTGGACTCTATCTGGAATATAGAATTCAAGCAGTTGGAGAAGTTTCTTCTCGTTAACTCTATGTTTTAGCTCTCTGTCCTTTCCCCGTATATTTTTCTAGGCATTTGTTTGGTGCTTTACTGTAAAAGGGGAAAAATACACAGTAGGGAAGATAAATAAATATGAAGATATTACCTGTTCCCCAATAGGTCGACTCCCTGCTCCGGCAGGAACCTGTGGCAGCTGTGAGGTGACAGCGTGATGTGTTACATCAGAGCGGGAGCCGGCTCGCCGCTGCAGGGATGGACGTCTCAGAATCTGAATTTTCAAAGTATGTACAGACATGTCTAATTATTTGATCTATATATATCCTCATTCAGCCTTGACCTAAAACTATCAACCCGTATTACCAAAAGTCATAAAAAACCTTCATATTCCTTAGCCCTCTTTGTGTTTTAAATTCATCATGCATTATATAGTAACCTTCGCAAAAAAAAATGCTATTGTACTATTGCCTAAGCATCATACTAAAAACATTTCATTCTTTGCCCCATTAAAATTCAACTTATAAAGCTCTTTGAAATCTAATAACATTTCACAAAAAGAAATAAAAATATACATTACAGTAAAGAGTATTTCCAGGCAAAAGTTCAATTCAAAGACAATTATAGTGTCTAAATATTGGGACTCTGGATCATATCGCCTAAGTGTAGATCCCCACTCTTCCACTTAACGCTTAATAATTAGGGCAAATTACTTTTTCTATGCCTGTTCCCCACAGCTCTGCCTAAGGACTGATAAGAACACAGACACTGTTTTCAAACTGGTAGGTGTTAAAAAATTCTATGTACAATTATTGTAGAAGAACCATGAAAATTATATTCTTAAGAATTAGTGCAGTTCTTCATACTTTTAAACATGTTAAAACATTGGCATGTGACATTGTAGTATTTTTCAAATATAACAACCAACTTATTTTCTTTCAGAAGAGAATCATAAATGCTCATATTAAAAGCATTTTATTTCCTTGCTTTGAAGTTTTAACTAGGACTTTGCTTTTTCTCTATTCATTTCAATGATTAATACCCTATGTTAGTTAACAGAATGGGGGACTCTCTCTCTACCATAACCTCCTCGTATTCTTGGTCCTCCTGATTGTCATCTTCATTTTCATCATCTTCCTCGTCTGGCTCAGGCAAGTCCTCATCGTCATCTAGTTCAGCTAACAGAGTACTGGCACGGCAGCTGTCAAGGAAATCTAGAAAACAAAACCAACAACCTTACTCTCAACACAATTAACAAAGCATAACAAAATAACTTTGTGTTTTGCTTTTTCAAAACAAAGGTAAAATTCAAGAGACAAGTATAAAGACTACACTTGGTGATGCCACCCTTCTTCTACCACACACGCAAGATGACAGACTTGGTAAATTGTCACAAGCACGGCAGAAATCAACAAGGAATAACCATAAACTAAACCCGAATCTATAAAATCATAACATAAAAGGTAAACGCTATAGCCTATGTTAAAAAATAACAACCATCAATATCGGTCTCTGCATAAGTCACAGTTAGCATGACGTGGTAGAGAAAAAACACTTCAGAGTCACTGACTGTCAACAAATACCTATTGAGTACCTACTATGGGCCAAGAATTGTGTTAGGCACCTGATATATGTAGAGTTGTGAACCACATAGTTAAATACTTTCTGATGCCATGTTATTTTTAACTGTAATAATGATATAAAATAGTCATTCATACAGTATATCAAAAATGTTTTTTGGTAGCTGGGATTGGGACTGTGTCTTTATGGCTTTGGCCATTGAAATGGTAGTAATGAGTTTTATGTGGAGGAATTTTTAAAAATATATAAAGATGTTCATGTCTTCATTTTCAGTTGTTATGTACTGGACCATCCTGAAGATATTTCCAGATGCTAAACCTTGGAAGGAACATAGCCTGCTCCCTTGCAGGCTCACACTGTTGCCCTCCGCCTGCCTGCCTGTCTGCCTCTCTCCCCCCCATCCTTCCTCCCTCTCTCTGTACTATACATGTATCTTCTATAGCTACGTAGTCAGGTGTCACGTAACAACGTTTTGGTCAATGACAGCAACAAACCATATATCTGATGGTGGTCCCATTAAGATTATAATGGAGTAGAAAAACCCCTATCACCCAATGAAGTAGCTGTCATAATGTCCGAGCACAATGCAGTACTCGTGTTTGTGGTGACTGTGGTATAAACAAACCTATTGCATTGCCAGTACAACACATACAATTCGGTAGAGTGTATAATACTTGATAAGGATAATAAATGACTGTGTTATTGATTTATGTATTTGCTTACCTTATACTTTTTATTAGAGCGTACTTATAAAAACATTGGCTGTAAAACAGTCTTACACCAGCAGCAGCCTCATACATCTTGTGTTTAACACGTCTCTTAATTATTTTCTCTTGTACTTTATTTAATCTCATGTTTTATGAATTTAGTGTAGCCTAAGTTTACCAAATGACTCCTCCAGAGCAACTTGAGTTGCTCCAGTCCTGTGAGTTCCACTTACGGTTTTAAAAATCTTTTGCAGTGTATTTGTGCTGTACCTTTCCTAAGTTTAGACAACAAATATTTGTTATTGTGCTGTAACTGCCTGCAGCATTTAATACAGGTATACAGCCTGAAGCAACAGGATACACCATATAGCCCAGGTGTATAGAAGGTGATACATACACACACACCATTCAGGTTTGTGTAAGTGCACCCTATCATGATTGCACAAGGATGAAAGTGCCTAATGATGCGCATATCAGAATGTATTCCAAATGTTAGGCAGTACATTTCTACTGCGGTAGTAGGACTTAAGGGAGAGAGAGGCATTTAAAAACAAACAAATGAACACATCAATAGGAACTGCAGAAGATCTTATGAGGGAAAAGAACGAAGTAAGTCAATCAGAGAGACCTGCTTTAGCTATGTGACCTGACAAGTTACTTAATGGTAATGACTACATAAGGGCAATGCCTACTTATGGAATAATGTGTGTACTACTTTCGTATTATCCATATTATCTAGCACATAAGAAGCTCAACAAACCTGGATCCCTTTAACTCCCTCCTTCTCAGGATCTCGCTCCCTTACCCCCCCATGAAGACTGTGCCAAATGTACTCTGTCTCACATAAAGAAGATGCTGACAAGCTGTTCTTCACAAGAACTAAAAACAAAATGAGGAATAATGGGACTAAAACAGAATTTTTTTTTACTGGATCTAGAAAGAAAATCTATTCATAAAAAGACAGCATATCCCTGGCCAGTGTGGCTCAGCTGGTTGGAGCATCATCCATAAACCAAAGGGTCAAGGGTTTGATGCCTGGTGAGGGCACATGGCTGGGCTGTGGTTCAAAAGTGGTCAGGGCTCGTCGGAGAGGCAATCAATCAATGTTTCCCTCCCACGGCAATGTTCTCTCCCTCTCTCTCCCCCTCCTTTCCCCCTCTGTAAAATCAGTAAGCATGTCTCGGGTGAAAATTTTTTAAAAAGAGAAGAAAATACAGTGTATACACTGTATTCCAACAGAACATCCAGAAGACAATTTATAATTATTTAGTAGACACTTGCATCTGCAGACCTCTGAACCAAATACGTATTTTTAAATCTAATAATTACATGGGACTAAAAAGTGAATGCCTTTTATTGGATGACTAGTAGAAGAGGCCTGATATTATACTCAATTAGGTTCGAAAGTATACATTTTTCAGCACTTCAATATTCCGAAATCAGAATGTATTTTTTTTAAGATTTTATTTATTTATCTTCAGAGGGGAAAGGAAGGAGAGAGAGAGGAAAATATCAATGTATGGTTGCCTCTTGTGGGTCCCCTGCTGGGAACTGGCCTGTAACCCAGGCATGTGCCCTGACTGGGAATCAAACTGACAACCCTTCAGTTCACAGGCTGGCACTCAATCTACTGAGCTACACCAACCAAAATGCAAATCATCTAACTTCATATATGTCACAATTCACTGAAGTGAGGTTTTATTTTTTTTACTCAACTTCCCTTTTTTATCAGAGTATAAGAAATTTTTACAAGCTCCTTAATTTCATAGATTTGACCATACCACAGAATCAAATCATGTCCGTCAAAATGTTAACAGCAAAAATCTGCATATACAAAAATTATTTTATAAAATAGAGTCCTCCAGTTTTAGGAATGTAAAAAAGGAAGTTTTAATCATCTAACAATTTTTAAAAGGCAACAAGCAGCCCTGGCTCTTTAATATTCTCTCCCATCAGCATACCCATAACCTTCTTAACCTTCAAATGATAAAGAACTAAACCTTGACTTTAACGTATTAACAAATGAGTAAGGAGAGGGTCTTCATGAGAAAAAGTGAAGTGGGAAACAGCTCATTCAATAAATTCACAATAATCATTACATTTCTGTTTTCTACTTTGTTTTTTAAATATATGGCTAGCAAATGAAGATAATAATCATCATCTTAATTTGCTAGCCATATATTTAAAAAACAAAGTAGAAAAAAGAAATGTAATGATTTTCCTAAAATCAGAAAATGTCAGATCCAATTCTTGGCTTGTACGAGAGGCTACATTCTCAGGAAAAAAAGAAAATATTAAAATGAGATACATAAAATAGTACTTAAAATATATCTTCATATAAATTTTCTTGTATTTGAAATTAACAAAACTAATTTTTTTAATTTTATTTATTTTGAGAGAGAGAGGAAGGGAGGGAGGAAGAGTGGGAGAGAAACATCAATGTGTGGTTGCCTCTCCCGTGAACCCCACTGGGGGACTTGGCCTGCAAACCCAGGCATGTGCCCTGACTGGGAATCAAACCGGCGACCCTTTGGTTCAGAGCCCATGCTCAACCCACTGAGCTAAACCAGCCAGGGCACAAAACTAATTTTTAAAAAGAACAGGTACTGATATCAAGGATCTACGGTACAGGGTATTCCAAAACAATACTGATGTGAAAGGGCATTTCAGCAACTAGTCAATTAGGAATTCATGCTAAGGAAATATACAAAAATATAATTCAAAGATGCTCATTCATAATAATGATTATGGTAATAAAAAACTATAACTTAAAATATCCAAAATGCAGATCTTATTAAATAATAATCATACTGTCAAACAGAAGAATATTTGGCCATTTCAAATAGTAGAAACCCACCAACAATGTGAAAATATTTTCACAAATGAGTGAAGAAAGAAATCTGGAAAGGGTATAATCCTTTTTTTTTGTTTGTTTAAGGAGAGAATACACACCTCAGGCTGTATGCATCAAATAACAGTGATTATTTCTAGAAGATAGAAATAGGGACCAGCTGATTTTTATTTTCATTTATATTTACTCTTTATAAAATCTGTTATGGTTGTTTAAACAAAACTTCATTAATAACAAAAGGCAAAATAAGATGATACACAAAAGTCCCTAGATGTCTCTTTATAATCTGATAATTTCTTAACAGTCCCTCATATTATGACTTTTTTCATCTTATAAGATGCTATATTTAAGACAGTAATTCTTTCCTAATCAAAAGTTAAAATCCCAGCAGAAAAACATCACAAAAGCATCACTGTATTAAATATCTAAATATTTTAAAGCATAACTTACCATATAAGGAATACTCTGCTTCCTGACCTGTGTCACTTTCACTGGAGGTTGACGTGAGGCTGGTGGTTAAAGTATTACTTAACGACTGACCAACTGACAAAACTGTTGTTGCTGTAGCTACATTGCTGCTGCTAGTAACACTGGATGTTGACATAGTCACTGTTGATGTAGTACCCGGTGTGGTCAAATTAGGGAAACTCTGAGCACCCATCAGAGGAGACGCTAAAGATAAAAGTGAAGCAGATCAGTACAAACAGGTAGGATTGTATAAACTTTACAAAAACTACACGGTATATTTAGGAAAAAGAATAAGATCATGAACCACTAAGTTATTAAATGGATGAAAAGCAACAACTTTGGGAACCCAACTGAAATCCAACTAAAAATTCTTATTTTTATAGCACTATTATTTTTCAAAAAATTAAACCAAGCTTTTTTTAAAGTGAAATTAAGCAATGCGATAATTCCCAATAATATTTTCCAAGGTAACTACTTTGACCCATTAGTAGCTTAAATTAGAATGATATAACTTTTAGCAGTTAACAATTTAGGACCTAAGTAAAAGTTATACCAGGTGATGCTTTAATTTCAATTGACTGTTTAATAGTCATTTATTTCCTCATACAACTGTACTTAATGATTTATTGTTGAGGAGTGAAAATCAGAGTGTTATTGTTTTATCCTTTCAGAATAAGAGATTCTTTATCACACTTAAATTTTTTAGACATGATTCTATAGAATTTAACTTCATATTCCTGAAGTGCTAAAGTTGATGGAGCTATATCTGACATGGTTAATGATCAGTTAAAGACTGAAGCCAGAACCCACTGAACAAGAAACCCTACTTTGCATCCCTCAAAGTGGAAAAGGCATTGGGTTCCATAAGGAAAAGCTCACTTACTTGCTGTGCTCATCACATTCCTCCCCAAAGTATTAGTGTTGTTATCACTGCTGCTTCGGCTTAGATTCATGTTGTTCGTGGCATTAGTCCGTGCTATGTTTGCCACTCTCCTTACAAAACTCTCCAAGCTAGATGTTTCTCTTGAGGACAGGTTAGGTACACTTGCACTAGAGCTCATTGGGGCCCCAGCAGCCAACAGAGAACTCACTGACAGTCTGTTACTTGCTGAGGAGCTAAGGGGTCGTTGTGAAGCTGCTTCTTTATTAGTTAACTCAGATACTGAACTAACATCAGGAGAACTAACACTAACAATTCCCATGGATATTGCACTAGACTCCCCAGGAGTACGAACTGAACTATCAGGGCCTAACTTTCTTTCAGCATTTTCACTTCCCGTTTCCGCTGTTAAGGTACTGGTGCTTGCACTGGAAGATGACCCTACTTCTGTTTGAGGGACGTTTTCAGCAGATGAAAGAACAACAATTGGTTCATGGACATCAGCTCCTGAAACTATACTGTGTTCCATTACAATTTCTGATCTCCGTTCCGTTTTGGTCGAACCCAAGCTGATGTCGCTGCTACTGGCCACGCTACACACAGAACTGCTGCTTCCTTTTCTACTTGAGGAGCCTGCAGCAGCAGACGTCTTGTCTGGACAGTTGTTTTTCACCAAGCTGCTCCATGCTTGCGTTGTGCCTGAAACAGTGGATGAAACAGGTTTGGGTGATGCCACTGTATCAGGGTCGTACCCTGGTGCAAGCTTGAGGTCAAATTTTCCTTCTGCGCCCATACGGTAAGAGTTTGAGCCACCAGCATCCCAGGTGACATCAATCCAGCCTGGAAAGGGACAGGAGTTTGTGAGACCCAGC